GGAGAGTTTATTATGTTTTATAATGTAATAATATTATAATATAATAATATAATCTGATTTGACAATAAATTGCGCCACGAATTTTTGACCGCACCATTTTACTTTGGCCGTATAATAAATAGTGTAGGTCGCCTTTTGCACCACGTTTACTGATAGTAAAAAAAAAAGCTCACTTTAAGTTATGACAATCTTCACCTACCTTTCAGGACGGTTTTCGTATGTTACAGAACTACAAGCCAAAATGTATCATTATGTTAGTACGTTCGTATAATGTATCTAATTTCTACAATCAAACATTGAAACGCCTACCGTCCTCTACACATTTTTTTCAATGTTTTTCTTATTTTCATGTCCGAATTAATTTGTTTGCTATATCGGAGAGTGCGTATTAAATTTGTATCTAAGAAAACGGTAAACCTTCTTGCTACGTTTTAGTCAAAATTATTGTTCTACTTTTGTTTTGATTGTTCCATTTGAACAGTATTCGGGGACTAAAAAAGAATTTTAGGAGAGGTGGGGGAGGGGGGGGGGGAGACTACAGGTCACATACAACCAACAGTTATTTAGTCTGCATTATGTTTCACTCTTTGTCTCTTTCCTCCGCAGACCTTGCCAGAGTTGTGATAGGAACATACTTTCAGGTAAGTGTTATATCAATTTTCTCTAATAATAATAATAATAATAATAATAATAATAGATAGCATTTGTATAGCGCATATCCCCGCTCAGCAGCAGGCTCTATGCGCTTTACACTATATCATTACCCCAGCAGACCATAGTTCACTCCGAAACATTCTCAGCTTCCCGGGAAGCATACAGTGCGAGCAGCCGATTAAGCGCTCAAACACTAACAAACTGACAAGATCTTTCGCTGTCTATAGCCGGGTACCCATTCCCACCTGGGTGAAGTGAGGAAAATTCGTGTAAAGTGCCTTTCCCAAGGACACAACGTCAGGGCCCTTGACGGGATTCGAACCCACGACCTTACGGTTGCGAGTCCGAGAGCCTAACCACTAGGCCACCGACGCCACCGCTCTAGTCTTGGGGGTTGAAAGTATGCTCAATAGATGTTAAGGAGTAATTACCAACACCCTATCAATGATATAGAGATAGCTTCTAAAAAAACCCAATAAGATCCACAGGGGCGAAGGCTGACTTGTTTGACAGGGTAATCAAAGTGAAACGGGACCAGATATGGCCTGTAGATATATCACACAAGAATCTTACTCGAGGCGGTGACTCTGAGTTGTGAATGAAAACAAATCCGGAATTCATATTGTATGTTCAACCGCCAAAATAATCGGGAAAGTATCTTATTAAATATCAGTTCCAACTAAAATAAAATTTAACTTTAGATGTGAATACATAAACACAAAGCAAAGAAGCAGAGATGTCAGTACTAGATCTATATGTTATAGATCTACCAGTGAGTCTAACTCTTTGGTAGAACATGACAATTATCATTTTTTAAATTTCACATTTGGCTGTTTTTGTTAGCCTTTCGCGGCCAGGAGCTGGTGTCATAATCGAGGTCACGATCTGATTATAGGACGGTAAAAAGTCGAGGAAAAAAAACAAGCACATATGGCAGTCTAGAGATTATTAGGAGTTAGTTCCCCTCACATTTGTGAGGAAGACTCGACCAGTGTTAGTTAGCTTACATAATCAGGACTTGTGATTGATTATAACTGTGGCCCGAAAGGGGTGAACAGGGTATATGTGGCAATGAAACAGCTTTGACTGCTATGCACATGTTCCCTTCAACTCTATTGGTAGACTCTTCCAGCCTCACTTTAAGCTTACTTAATCAAAGCTTGCGACTGCTTATGGAGTGGCCCGAGAGGGGTGAGGAGGCTATTTCCGTGACCGTGAAACCGTTTTGAATGTTAGGCATTCTGTTCATTGTTGATTACGAACGTCTTTTTACATTTAATTTAAGAGGTTTACGTTTAAGGATGAATTTGATAGCGACAATGTTTCAAAATTAGGAAGGAAAGCAGTGATTATTTGATTACATAGACGCTTCGCCCCTGAAGATCCACCAATAATCTGAATTTGCCCAATTTTTACTCGCACCCAGAATGCGATTGCAATTTGAAGATTTTCCATTGCGCAAAAATCATCTGGGTAGTCGCTCTACATTTATGGATACGTTGAAATGTCAACCAAGGCACAATGCACTGTGTTGAACAAATGGCGTGAAAAATATTGTAAGCGTGTGTAGTTAGTATTGATTAGACGACAGTAAGGGCTTTAAGAGCTGGAAAAAACCTTTGTGTTTTTTCGACATAAGTAACATCCTGCTGAGATGGAGAAAGGAACAACCAACAAATAAAGTACTTGACATAGTAATATAGAGAACAGACTGGCCTGGCTTATACAAAGTAACATACGACTACAAAGTTACGGGATTTTTAAAGCAAAAGCTGAGAAGGAAAAGTGTAGTACCTTCGAACTCATTTAAGTATATATCACGCAACAACTGTTTGTTAAGGACATAACAAAGCCGTAAATAACGATTATTAATAGTTAAGCGTATACATAATCTTCACAGATTTGAGACAACATGTTTGTTTATGGATACGTATGAGAAAAAATCTACAAACGGCACACATTCTAAAGGGTAAGAAGCCCTGTCAAGAGTGATTTTGTATCATTTTCTTTGGTGCTCTCGACGCCTTTCATAGACTACACTCATTTTGCAATAACACGTAATGTACGGAGAAAGAACGAATCATTAAATAAGAAAAGTTATTGATGGCAAAAGTAGCGTGCGTCTTTCGATCTAGTGTCATTAAATGTGTCACGACGCGGTAGAATCAGGCACTCGTCAGTTTTTGAGCATATTGAGCTATTAATCAATCTACCTTGAATGCAAGTCGAAATATTTGCGATTGAAAGTGGTTGCTTGGTGTCTGAGGTAAAACTAGCAAGAAAATGGCTGCCATTGTTTGATGGCTTCCAAAGCTTGAGAGTCATTGAAAACTGCAGATATATTCTTTTTTCTAATTTGTCTTTGAACAGCATTCTTCAGTAAAATACACACAGAAATGTGTTTTTATATTGAGATAAAAGGTATTGAGCCAAAAATTAAAAGTTCTATAAAAATTGCCATACGGGAAGAAAATGCAGTTTTCTTCAATTTCACCACGATGCCTCACAAATGATGCTTCCCCTACTCTCGACTGACTCTGTAAGAATACACAAGCCCCAGGAAATGACTGTTTAGGGAGCTTTTCTTTTTACTTCGCAGAAAAGATGTGTAAATTAAGGTATCAATACATTCCTTTCCCTTTTCACAAACGTATTTCTTTCGTCAAATCAAGTGAAGTGATTACCTTTTTTGGTAACTTACGAGGGGGTTTTGACCATGAAGAGAAAATATAAGGAAAATGATATCTATTTCTATGGATGCCAAGAGAATGCCTAGTCAGATCTTCCAAGGGCACCGCACAAAGGGCTATAGAACTCTCTGCCGGCCCAAAATGAGATACAACGACCGCGTCAAGAAACATTCGAACTTCTGTCTGTCTTCAAAAGACCTTGAGCAATGAGCTTAAGACTGAACTTCTTAGCGTGTTCAGATCTCCAAACACAAAGTGTTTTAGGTAACAAGTCTTATATAGGTTTTTTTCACATTCTTGTGTTTGTGTAGGTAGGTGGAGGGGGGAGGTAACTAACTCACGAGGCTTATAGTTCTTTGCAATTCACGGTTCATAGCACCTGGTGATTTAGGCAACATGATGAAGACAGGCTATTGTCTTGGAATGTTACCGCCGTCACATATAGAATTTATTAGGTTTGCTGTCACTATAGTGCCCGATTCTTTAAATGTCATTTTCATTTAACTTGAATATTATCAGGCCCTGTAGATTTTACGTTTTCCTAGATTCATTTTCTTAATGGCAGCTTATATTTTTTTCAAATTTCAGATTCGGTGGTCCATTTATTCGTTTCTTTAGTACACACGTTTCTCATTTGTTGTCTTTAAAAAGTTCTGTGATGTATTCAAATCATCCTTTTGAACCACCCCCTTTTTATCTTAGGTAGCCTGTGTTTATTTATTTATTTATTTATTTATTTATTTATTTATTTATTTATTTATTTATTTATTTATTTATTTATTTATTTTTATTTTTCATTTATTTATTCATTTATTTAAAGCCCCTTTTGTTCCATCTCACTTCTCTCATATTATTTGCTGTCGCTTGATATTGAAAAGATGCTCTCCTACAGTACTGATCTCCACTAATAACTACTCACTGCAAAAGCCTCCACGCACATTTACATGTAGGTTGGAAGTGGGGGGGGGGGGTATAACCCCTTCAATACAATTCAAATCATTTAATTAAGAGGCGGATTTTCGATCTCGCCTGTCGGGGCAACCCAGGTTGAGAGGGATGCAGCATCCCAGCCGAAAGACCGAGATACTCGATAATAGTTCTCCCCACTCGGGAATCAAACTTGGGTGTCTTGTGTGCTACAGCGAATCGCCTTTCTGCTACACAACAGAGAAAGTCTCACGTAACTAAAAGCAACAAACAAAAGGCAATACCCCACCCCCAATTTGATTTTATAAATGCAGGTTTTGTTTGCATCTGTATTTTTACAAACATTATATCACTTGAGACTCCATATCTTTTTGAGCGCAGAACAAAGTTTCAGGTTTTCGTGTACACCTTGAAAGATTTGTAAACAGTCTTAAAGTTTTAAAATTGCATATAAAAACCTATGTGAAATTTATTTTCTATTGTATATTGGTCTTCTCTCTATATCCGAGCTACTCAAATATCACGTATCAGTCTACAGTCGTTTCTTGACGATTTCCCAGTATAATAAGATTAACTGTTATCGTTTAAACAAATGATATTATCCTGTAAATGAAAGTACCCTCCATACATGGATTTACTTCTTGTGTATGAATTTGTTGTAATTTTTTCTACTCTTTCTATTTACCCCAAATTTCAGTATCACCACGAGTCGTCTGAATTTGCAGAGTGAAACTACGGCTGCAGGCCTCAAAGATGACTACAGGAAATATCAGTCTGGCAACGTCCCCGGGATCACCAGAGACTGGCGTATTAGATATTGCTACCAGAAACATCATCGTTCTTTTGTCCTTAACTATTTTTGGAGGGCTCATCAGTCTTGTTGGTATTGTCTTCAATGCCATTAACGTAGTGGCCTTTGTTAAACAGGGCTTTAAAGACACGGTGAACATAACGTTGTTTGGCTTAGCCATCTCCGATTTGGGGGTGTTAGTGACCTTTCTGTGGGGAGGCATCTGCTATAACCCTCTGTTCATAAATTCGGGTCATTCTTTTGACCCTGACGGCTTATGTTATCTAACATGCGGGTGGCCTAGTGTTTGTTTTGCCAGAATCACAAGTTGGATCACAGCTTTTGTCACATTTGAGAGGTGTATGTGCATTGCCATGCCTCTCAAAGTGAAAACAATCATAACCCCGAAACGTACAGTCTTCGTTGTCGTTGGAATATTTTTGACTATGTTTGCTAATGTCGTGCCAGTGTATTGCTCAATTAGCCTGGGCCCTACTTTCTTTCGAGAACTGAATAAAACAATGATAGGAATGGTGTTCATACCTAATGGCGAAACAATCGAAAAAGTTGCACTTTCTATCAGTATTTTCTCCCAATTTGCTTCTTTCTTCGTGGTTATCGTCTGCACCGTAGTTCTTATCCTGAACCTGATACGCAAATCTAAATGGCGGCAGTCGACGTCAAGCTCTGCCAAGCAGAAATCTGTTTCAAACAGAGACAAGAAAGTGGTGAAGATGATTCTATCCATTTCGATTATATTCATCGCTTGCTTTTTACCTAGTGGAGTTAACTTCATTGTAATTTTTTTCTTGCCTGAATACAAAGTAACTGGTAAATACCAAAACCTGTTTATATCAACATGGTGTCTGTGTAAAGCACTAGGAACGTTAAATTCCTCCGTGAATATTTTTGTGTATTATAACATGAGTTCGAAGTTCAAGGAAATCGTTGATAAAATGTTTCCAGGAATAGTAGGGAAAAAAGAAACGAAGAAGATATCCAATGGTCCGTGATTGTTTACCACTTCAAACGACCAAGTGGGATTACTTTTGGACCGTTCAAGGGGTTGATTGAAGTGACGTATCCTTCATTTTACAATAATTGTATCTTGTAGAACGCGATATGTTGTAGGATTTCCCTCTGGGACAATAAAGTATTATTTATTCTTAGGATAACACTCGGCTTTAGAAAGTGGAGATAGACATTGAAATGCGTATCTTATAAATCATTTGTTTTTCAAAAAGTATAAGGCTGATGAAATCTTCTTAATAATTGTCTTTTTTCCATATGTTCTGTGTTCTTTAGTATCCCTGCTAAAACAAACTGACGCTAAGTAAATGCAATATGTGTAACCCTCTCATTCCCCCTCACTAAAAGATATCAGCCATTTTCGTGAACATTAAATAAACTGTCAAATAAAGTAAGTTTCTTTGGATCAATTAATCACTCTGTGTGTGTATGTTCGTTCGTTTATTTGCTTGTTGTTTGTTTGTTTGTCTGTCTGTCTGTTTGTTTGTCCCACATCGGAATTACTTGTATTTAGAAATCAAAATATTTTTCTGACAACGCAACATGGTGCCTGTTTGAGTTTTAGTCCAAATAATAAGAAGCACACTGACACGATGACGGTCATGTAGGGCAGGATAGAAGCAAGGCAGACAGACAGAAATAACAGAGGAAAAGAAAAGAAGGACCTTCCAGTGGCGCACTCCAACCACCCATGCGTGTGCTGATGTACGCAAAAATTAAATGACCAGTGTTGCCGTTTGCTTTTATATCATTATGATGGATTGCTTCTCGTTATGAGATCTGTTTTGCTATGTTACGTCTGTATGTTTGTTTTTGGTTTGGTTTGGTTAAGTCTTTTATTAAATGGGTGGGTCAATTTATATGCGTAACGCCCCCATCGCCACAATTTAGATCAATTCTAAGAGGTAGCCTCGGTCTTGCCCGTTACTGCCAACCCAAGTTGAGACGGATACAACATCCCAGCACAAAGGCCTCAATAGCGATACTCGATTATACAATACAATTCTCCCCACAAAGGAATGGAACTCAGGTCCTCAGCCTGCGACAACGAAACGTCTAGCCATTACACCACGACCCCGGTCTACAGTACAGTCTACATGCTCATCGAACAGGGCACACGGTAAGACAAATTCTATTAAAAGCAAATACGTGTTGTAGCTGACCTGCATTGTGTCCAACGCGCTATTTTTAAACAACGCTTACCAAACTCCCCCCCCCCCAAAAAAAAAATTTTTTTTTAAAATTTTTTTCCATTTAAAAAACAACAACAACAAAACCCCAATAACTTCTCAATGAAGAAAAAAGAGGTTGTAAATATTTTTCAAGTCCTCAGCTGTGACGTCTTGCGTGTCAGACGTGGAGGGCGCACAGACTTTACGGAAGAGGTATTTATTTATTTACTTTTTTTTGTAAGTGTTTTACAGCGCTCGCAACTGCGTAACGTCATATGAGCTCGCGGGATACATTAAACACTTTCAGTTAGTGAAAATTTTGAATTTTGCCCAGGCAGCGACAGAAGCCTACTCTTATAGATTTTGGACCATCATGGAATCTTTAATGTCCGCAACTTGCACTCGGTACCTCCGAGATTGTTTTGCCCTTATCCGAGAAGGCCAGGTGTTAGATCATACCTACTATAAAATCAGGGGCGTGGCTGACAGACAGCAGTAAGAAGGAACCGAGGAGAAAAAGTAGAAACGCTGCAGAAAGAGTGAGGAGCCCAGAGGAGGGAGAAAAGGGGAGCGGGGGTGGGGGGGCAGAAATTGGAGACGAAAGCAGACATTGTTAGAGAGCATGAAAAGAGGTACATGTAAAAAGGAGAACATTTTAGAGAAGAACATTTTCCGTCACTGTCCGGATTCAAACCCGGGACTAATTGAATGAGAGGTGAACGTCTTAACCTCTCCACGACGAGAACCCCTCCCCGTCCTCCTCACCGAAGAAGTATAGATGGCCATTCGGTACGCTATATTATTGTATAGAAGGACGCACCAGTAACAACAGTATAATGGAAATACTAAATGGTAGTGCGGAGTAGAACTGTGGAAATAACGATGGTGCACTCTAGTGTCGTGCTTGGAAGAACAAACCGAGGGGGGGGGGGGGAGAAGGAGAGAAATAGCAGCTGTCATATGTATATAGTTAGTATGACTGAACATATTATTTATAGCTTATTCACTTTCGTTTGTCTGCGTGAAAGAAAAAAGTAAAAATAATTGGCTCATTTACTGATTTGTCAATGTGCACATAACTTTGCATGCTACTCCTATGGGCCCGCGACCAAAAACTTTTTAAAACAAGAAATCTCGATCCAGTTATAAAGTTTCTTTATTAGTGCCCAGTATTTAAATAGTCTACCACCCTTTCAGTACATAAACAGTATCGTTTCAATGAATGATTTACAATATCCCAACCTACGAATCGCTTATTGTGAAGCAATAATGAATTATATATTGGATAATGAACCCAGCCCTAACACCCTTTATAAAATCCCAGACATCACCCATCGGCACGCATTTCATTACATTAGTTGTTTTATTGCTTGTATGTAGTGTTGCTACTGCGAACGAAAAGTACAACCTTTTCTTGACACCAAGTTGTCAAGTCGACAAACAGCACAACCACGCACAGTTTACGCATTCAGGACAGCTGTGGAGGACCTATCTTCTCTGACGCTATGTAAATAGTATACGAAAGTGAGGTAGTGTGACAGGACTTTCCGATAACACCTCACAGGACCAGAGGGACCTGTTAGATCCGCGAAGCCTGACCTCAGCCCAGCGCACAAGGAATGTCCTGAGATCATGTGACAGTGGCCATGCATTCGACGAGATTTGAGATCGTGGCGTCGGTGGCCTAGTGGTTAGGCTACCGGACTCGTACTCGTGAATTTGCGGTTTCGGGGGTTCAAGCCGAGGGCCTGACGTTGTGCCCTTTATGAAAGGCACTTTACACGGATTTTTTCATTTCTCCCAGGTGGGAATGGGTATCCGGCTAAGGACAGCGAAAGATCTTGTCAGTATGTTAATTTTTTAGCGCCTATAAATTGATGCTTGCGCTGAATGCTTCTCGTGAAGTTGAGGTTGTTTAAGAATGCTCTTAGGTCTGCTGGGGTAATGGTAATAGTATAGATTGTGAAGCGTATAGAGCTTGCTGTTGAGCGGAGATAGAAATGCCATCTATTGTTATTATTACATGAACAGCATTCCCTCCGAAGGCAGTCACGTCAATTAAATAATAAATGAATCATGACAGGTCTTCTACTAGATGATGTTACACCAGGGAGAGACACACCAACAAAGATATCAGAATACGACATCAAAATTGGAGGAAGACAATCCTCTTTCTACATCAGTAGAAGCAGGAGAATATAGCCAGCATGGTGTAAAAGCAATCCATTTTGTGAGTATAAAAGAGTTCTTTTTATTAACGATATCAGTCACTCAATTTATCAACTTGTGAACAAAGACCCCCCCCCCCCCCTACCACCACCACCACAACCACCAACAACAAAAAAACAATAAAAAACAAAAAACAGAACCCCGGATAATCATATCAGGATGATTGTCGCATCTACAAAGTCGTCTGATGATGAAAAGACCGACTGGTTTCAAAGATCTAAGTGCAGTCTTACCTAAGTTACAAGTATGTCTATTTTTTAATTTTTTTTTTGGGGGGGGGGGGTTTGGGGTAAAATAAGAGGCGGGTTTCCGATCCTGCATGTCAGGGCCAATCCAGGCTGAGAGGGATGCAACATCCAAGCCTTCAAAACCGAGACACTCCATAAAAATTCTCCCCACTCAGGAATCGAACTTGGGTCTCTTGCGTGCGGCAGCGAAGCGCCTTACGGGTACATAAAAAGAATTTTATTGTCTTATAATGGGAGGCCTTGTTTGCATCTACAAAGTCGTATGTAGAGGAAAAGACCGTCTAGTTTCAAAGATCTGAGAGCAAAGTCTTAATTTACTTACATGTAGGTGGGATTGTTTTTTTTTAATAAGCGGCGGGTTTCCAATCATATAATAAATATAATATAAATGATGATATATAGAAGTGGAAGTCATTGATGGGGTTTACATCAACGACAAACTTCAATTATGATAAAGCTCTCAGGTATGAGGTGTTGGTAGTCTAGAGGTTAGGCAAAAAGACTCGTAATCGTGAGCCTGTAGGTTTGGGGGTTCGAGGTTCAGTTTGGTCTGACGTTGTGTCCTTCGGAAAGGCACTTTACTCGAATTGTCCTCACTTCGCCCAAGTAAGAATGGGCACCTGGCCATAGACAGCAAAAGATCTTGTCAGTGTGCAGAAAAAAAACACGAGGCAAAACAAATCTGTCCCACACAAGGGAGCCGGTTATCAGTCACTGCGGGATGATTTGACGTCAAAGATCCCTACATAAAACTTTAAAAAATATTTTCCACGTTGTCTAACCTGTCAGCATGTATTGTTATCGTCTCAAAGTCAAAGACCTTTTCTGTCAACTTAATTGAAAACTGTTCAAGTCAAGTTGCCTCACCAGGAGAACAATTATAATAGTTGCCCAGGATGCGTCAATGACAATGTCAGAGCTTCATTTGTTTACAATTTGGGATGCAGCCACAGATAAAATGTAAAAAAAAAAATGGAAAGAGGAAAATGTATCCTGACGTAAGTAATAACCGTTAGATATTGTTGTATGAAGTTATGTTAATGTATCAACATTTTGTGGAGGGATTCAATGTACTGTTTAATTGAGACAAACAAACATGACACAGGGTGACGTTTGCATGAAAATCTGAACTATTGTATCGTAAAACAAGTTATTGTAATTGTAGACCTTCTTTGCTAATATCGATTTAGATCATTTAGCAGACAGGCTGCTTCAAACCTGCCTGTCAGGGCCAACCCAGGCTGAAAGAGATAAGACGTCTCAACAGAAAGACGGAGACGATTTTTAAAATCTTCTCATTCGGGAAATGAATTTGCATCTTTTGTGCGCAAAATACAAAGAACCGAACCTCTACAACATAGACGCTGACGCTATTACGTGGTAGCGAAACTGTAGGCCTACTCATTGTAACACATGACTCAAAGTTTTCTGAGCTAAAACAAAAGATCCTGGTCACTATCACCCAGGAAAACGGTGAAAACTAAGCAAGTTATAACTATTCATGAAATATTTGTTCAATGCTTGCTTGGTAGAAAGTGCTGACACTCATAAAAACAAACAGTATTGGGAAGAAAAGTTAGTACACATGTTTAATGAGTGAATGAAGCACAAACAATTATGATAAGTCATTATTTTTTAAAATTGAAACTCGATTGCGTCTGATATTTCCAGGAATTAGGAAAAATGAAAGCCATTTCCAACAGGATGAACCTCAGAGTGATTCTCCACGAGACGTATTGTTTCTTTTATGAATCCACCATTGCTAAAACTTTTAATTGACGCTATATCTTTCTTATTTCTTTACCACAGCGCACGTGTAATATGTACATAACCTATACATATTGTACCAAGATTATAATATTCTAAATCAAATGATCGACGCACAAACAGACCCACACATGCTTTCATAATGTGCGTTACTCTATACATGTAACAAAGTTTCACCTTTGCGCTCTCGTCCTTAATTAAAAATGCTCATTTTTTTACATCACTCTTTATGTTTGAGACACGATCAACAGCATTTATTAAGATTCATTGCAAATAATATACTTTATCAAAGCTAAAAATACAGTAACACATTCTTAAAGTCTTAACAAAAATGGGTTTGCTTATATAGTTAATACAACTTTGCGTAATCACGCCTCTCAATCAGTATGGATGAAAGCTTTTGATTATCATTAGATCCCAATTTTGACTCTGCTATTGTCTTGAGACTAGACAGACCTTGTTTCCTGTACGAATTCCGCTCCGTGTAGAAAGTGGTATCAACTTATATATACTTTGTAGTGTCGTAAAACTTCTCCTCTATGGTTCAACAATACCGTTCATTTTGATCCACACTCCAGAGATCAGTTTTGCGTTCGTAAGACGTCGACTGTCTTGGAAAAATACTCATCATCATATTTCCAGTTCCAGTCGAGGATGCTGTTCCGGGTTCGACGTGTGTCCAATTAATCGGGAGAAGGTATCCCAGAAAACTTTCTTCACCTCTGGCTGGCAGTCAGGGGGAGGGAACTCGCTATACGTATCTTGCCACATCAACTTATGAAGGTCACGTGACAACTGGGCGTCCTGCATGGGCTGATATAAGATAAGATGGAGAACCTGACGGTGAGACGTGGCCTCCTCCATGAGCGCCATCTGCAGGGCGTATTCAAACCAATCGTTGTCGCGGTAGCCGGGAGACAGTATGAGGACGGTGAACGTGCTGCTCTGAACAGCGCTCACAATGTTGCAAGGGATGAAGGAGCCAGGCAGGAAGTCTTTGTCCTCAATGCACACTTTATGCCCTCTATCCTCTAGCTCACGGAAACATTCGGTGATGACAAAATCGTGGATGTCTTCTGAGTGTACAAGATATGCGTCAAACTTGTACTGGGTATTGTTCCCGTCTCGCTGCCGCATGCCGTAATACCTGGCAAGGAAGATGTTCTTCCAGTAACACAGTCGCCATCGGTATCTGACCAGTAGGCCGCAAACGATAATGACAACAGCTACACCCACCAATGAAATGCTCACGGCCAGAATGTAGGCGTGTGACACGCACGTGCGTCGCATTTCCCGGAATCGAGCTTCGCTGTCTCCCAGGGGATGGATTTGGTTGTCTTCGTTGCGACACAGGAGAAAGTCCCGGTCCAGGATTCGAACCTGTGTGAAGGCGATCCAGCGCAATAGCTCTAGCCCATTACACGTGCACGGCAAAGGTGTATCCTCAAGAGCCAAAGTGACCCCATGGCTCATTGCTATGGTATCTAGGTGGTCACAACTACGTCTGCTAATCCAAGACAGCGAGTTTCTGCGCAGGTCCAGGAATTTGAGTGACGTCATGTGGAACAATTTCAAGTCCAGGACCTGCAGATGGTTATCAGTGAGGACAATGACCCTGACCTTACTCATATTCTGGAAAACTTTATACGGGAGCTGGTAGATGGAGTTGTGTGAGAGGTCTAGGTAGGTGGTGACGTAGGCCCGTGCAAATGTCTCCCCGTCTTTGTCCCAAGCCAGAACGTTGCCCAGATAGTTTCTCCGCAGATTCAAAAATTCCATATGATTCTGTTCAGACAGAAAGCCCGTCGTGAGTTTATCACATTTGTTATCGGACAGATCAGCAACTACGACAGAGGACGGAAGTCGCAGCTTGCTCCATGAGTTCAAGTAGGCATTGGAAAAATAGACCTCTTTCACGAGAAACGAAGATGACGGGTCTAAGACTTGTTCACCAAATCGGAAGGCGTTGTTTGCTCGGAATCTCGAGAGATAATGAGGTGATGACTGAGTCAGATTTTTGGGTCTGTTGGAATAGCCCACTCGAGGGATTCTGGACTCAAGCTGTGTGATCATGTGACTAAGTTTCTGAGTCAAGAGCCACATTCTAAGGGAACAGAAATACTGGTTATCTGTCGTTATCGCTTGCGTAGCATTCCACTTGCTTCTGTTGACCCGGTGGAGATCAAAAGACGAGTCATAATTTTGTTCGCTTAAGTCAAATTCCAACAATCCAGGTAGCTTTCCCTTGCTCAGCACATCCCTGACAAGATTCACTCGATGCAGTCGGTTGTCCTTAAAACTTAGGTACTTTAGGCTTGGGGGCAAACGTTCAACAAATCTAGGTTCTACGAAGTAAATATTTTGACTTTCTATTTTCAATATTTCCAATCGGGACAAGCCTTGAAACAAGTGAGACTCGTTGTAACCTATAGCAGTCATGCGGTAGCCCCCAAGATAATGAAAGTGTTGAAAGACGAGAGATTTTAACTTTGTTTTGTTTAAGAACGGAATTATGGCCAGCCCTTGGTAAATGGTCATATGCGATCTTAGTTTGTGGATCGTAAACTCTTCTAAATCCTGTAATGATCCCAAGGAGACGGGATGTACAGGGTTCAGTTTGCATTCATATAAAAAGAGCTTCTTCAACGAGACAAGGTTTTCAAACATTTCCACTGTAATGGACTCCACGGAGCAGAAACCGTTTTTCCCGATGTACAAAGTGGAGAGCAGTGATAGGTTTTTAACCTCCGGGCCGAACTCAAGGTTTCTAATACCGTCCACATAGAGTTCCTTCAGATTAAGCAACACACTTAAACTTAAACTTGGCACGTTGTCGCTTCCTGAAGCACCGGCGATGTCCAAGATGGACAGCTGACGCAGTGGCCTGAAGAGATCCGGGGTCATTTTGGAGTACGACAGCCTTCTGTTATGAGTGAGAAGAAGAACGGTAAGACTTTCAAGAGACTGGAAAGCACCTGCTTCGATGTGATGAATGGTTCCGTAAGAAAGGTCTAAGACGTCTAGCTTGCTCAAACCGGCAAAGGTAAAATTCGTGACCTGCGGGAACTGTAATCGAGCTGCGAACAAATGTGTAAGGTTTGGGAAATGATGGAAGACACCGTCTGTGATTGTCTCCACAGGATTCCAGGAGATGTCCAGAACAGTCAGCGGACTCTGAACCTTGGATATTCCCGCAAAAGTCCCGTTTATAGATCTTAACCTGTTGGTCGAAATATTCAAAGCAAAGGCTGTCGTGTAGAGGAAGAGGTTCTGCGATATCAGTTGCGTTATCCTGTTGTGAGACAAGTCAAGACTTTGGGATTCCGGGGGAAGCCAACCAGGGATTGTGTCTAAAGACATGTAGGTGTGCTTATAGTTGCAATCCACGAGAGTTACCTTTCTTGACACGTTGAAGCAGATGCAACCACCGCAATGGAAGCGGTCAAGAGGCATGGCGTAGTCAAATAAATCTTCCAGAATCCGAGGAAAAGGTTTTAACGGGTCTGGCGAGCAAGGAACCACAGCTGTACCCCGCATACGGTGACATGCGTGACTGGTGTCTTGCCGTCTGTCGGTCACAAGGTCATACGACTGATTTCCTCCTCGAGGTGAAGGATTCCCGTGCCCCCGGGTCACAGCTGCACCCTTCCTGAGGTACTCGCTACCTCTGTCGATTGTGTCTTCACAGCAACCGAAGACCACAGCAGATAGGATTATCACGGTCTGGACTTGGTCCAGGAGACACAGCTGTGAGATCATCATGGCTGGATACAGCTGAAATGGAAGACAACACTTATTAATTGTATTTTCAATCTGTTTATCTGTTTTTCTGTCTGTCTGTCTTTATGTATGTCTGTCTGTCTGATTGTATGTATGTCTGTCTGTCTGTCTGTCGGTTTAAATGTCTGTCGTATGCCTATTTGCCTGCCTGTCTGTTTGGCTGGCTGTCTGTCTGTCTGTCTGCTTGTCTGTCTGTCTGTCTGTCTAGCAAGCTGGTAATTGAGTGAAACGGTCTTCTTCTTCTTTTTCATCTTCTTCTTCTTCTTCTTCTTCTTCTTCTTCTTCTTCTTCTTCTTCTTCTTCTTTTTCAGCCTTAAGCTGATTGTAGTAAAGGAAGCCATATTATGATCACAAAAAGCTCTTCAACAACGTTAGAGTCACTGATCATTTTCGATTTCTCTTTATAGCTTTGCCTTGTTCTAATAATACAGAGGATATTATTGGTGATGATGATGATGATAATAAAAATAATAATAATAATAATGATAATAATAATAATTGGTCCGTCGAGGTCTGACAATGACCAATGCACCTTCGTTTTTTTGTGTAAAGAGAAGCACATCGACACAATAATGGTCATTTTGTGCTGAGAATAAAGTAAGATAGAAAGAAAGAAACGCTAGAGGGAAGGAAAGAAGTAAGACCTGTCTGTGGCACCCTCCAACCACCCACCCAATGCATAAAAGGAAGAGAATATTTCTTAGCGAAACAGAAGAGATAAGAGTTGAGATCATTTTCCGGCTTCTGTAATGGTCAGTGATACCAATTCTTTCAGAAAAGTGTGTTCCATAATATGTTCCACTTGAAATGTCCAAAATAGCAAAAATACAAAGGGGGGGGGAGGGGGGGTGTAACAAGGAATAAATGTCTTTTTGTGGAAATACATTAAAAAGTGCTTGATTGCACACCAAAAACTCTACATATCCCAGTGTTTGTCCATTTGTTCGCTGAAATGTCTCCAAAATCTCGACTTTGTTTCTTTAAATGTATGTGTTTTTGCCCGACCATCGATTTAGATCGTGTAGTAGCCACTCTTCCAACCTGACTGTCAGGGCCGACCAGAACTGCATACGTTGCCGAGAGACAGTGACACGCCGACAATATCTGAATGGTAGCCGTGTTAAATTTCATACTCTGCGGGTTAAACTATTGCTCGCTGTGTAAAAATCTTGCATGGCGAGTCGGAGTTACTCAATCACGGCGTGCAAAAGTTGACACGACGAGCATGTAACTATTTCCTGTTGCCACGTATCGAAAGAGTGACGGCCAGCTTGATGTCAGGTTCCAGTGACTGCCTCCAGAAAGTGTTTGCCTTGTGGATGGTGGGGCCAATATTCTCCAGTAGTTCTTGGAAAAACTCTGGGGACGCTCTGAGGAGGTTCCTGAAGGATGCTACATCTTCAACTTGCAGTTCAGCCTTCAGCTTCTCAAACTGTCCTAAGTTCTTATCAGCCATTGTCGAACCCAACAGGTCCTCCTCTTCCTCCTCTTCCCCCTCTTCTCCTCTTCTTGCACCAGCACAACAGCAAGGGCACTATTATTATGTATACATGAAGTATACATTCATCGTCTGTGTCATATGAGACATGTTGAATGAATGAGCACAAACATTTTGCCCCTCTCTTTATATATTACAACATTACACGCCGACTAACTCGGCAATGGATCGCAAAGATGGTCAGCATGGACCGCGAGTTTGTCGGCGTATGAAATTTTACCCGGCGGCTGCGTTTCATGGCGCAGCAAGTGGCCAGTATTCAAACTAATTGCTCAGCAAAACCCTCGGGGAGACGCTCGGCAATATGCTCGCCGTCCTAAATTATTGGTCGGCGAGCGTCTCCCCGAGTGCTCACCGACACAATAATGTCAACAGTCACGGCCTGATGTTCGTCACGATTAAACCCGAATTTGGCATTATCCTGTTGGGAATTACTCGTCACTCTACTCCTATATGTGTGAACACCGCATAAGATATCCTATAAGAGCCCCCCCCCCCCCCTTATTAATTTTCAGGGGGGGGGGGGGTTGCGCATCCCCCCCCCCCACCTCCCCGCGCTCGTTGTTCTATACCCGCATTTTTTTTCCAGCTCGCCATGACCGACAATCATGTGAAACATTATATCTAGAATCTAGATATCTGAATGAAACTTTTTTTTTTTTTTTTGTAAATGGCAAATTACCCTCAGTTTCAGTACCGGTACCGGGTTGGCTACCTCAATTTTCTGTGCATTTTAAAAACTTTGTACATATTTTTTTAATGAAACTGGTTTGTTCCTAATAAATGGGAAAAGTTGTCACATTGCACAGTAACTTACTAAAATCACTAAAATGTCATGATCTCTTGTTCTTTTATACTGAAGGAGAAATAAAACAGATTTGTTCCTACTATACTAGCGCAGGGGTATGGGGTTGAATGAAGGTTATATATATATATAACTTAGACTACGACAATGGTATGGGAAGGAAAAGAAGTGAAAAAGAAAGAACATAAAGGTTTTCTTAAAGTTATAAATATAGCAAATGTCAATGTAACTCATAATACAGTTCTATTAAATAAATCAAATCAAAACACACACACACACACACACACACACACACACACACACACACACACACACAGACTATTTTCATCCAGACATAGGAACAGAACAACTATAATGAAAGACAGCGTTAAAAGCTTATGAAGGATAGGCCTGTAGGAACAGAAAACGTTTAAGATGTCTTTTGAAGCTATCAAGTGTTTTTATTTGTCTTAGTTTCATGGGTTATCTGTTCCACATAAATGGACCAAGATATAATAAAGATCTCTCTCCTAATGATTTGTGTGATTTTACAGGTGTCACAAGTAGGGTGTTATCGTTTGATGATCTTAGGTTTCTCCCTGGTTTATATATACTGATAACTTCTTGTAGATAAAAAGGAGCAGTTTAATTTACACATTTGAAACACATGACGCAGATTTTAAATATTATTCTTTCTTTTACAGGGAGCCAATGCAGTTCTTTTAATAATGGAGTGACATGGTCTCGTTTTTTAGATCTTGTTATCAGTCTAGCGGCATTGTTTTGAATTACTTGTAAACGATTCAAATATTTGTTGTTCAAACCTGCTAGGAGTGAGTTACAATAGTCTAATCTAGATAGGATAACAGATGTTACCAGAGTTTTTGTGGTCTCTTCGTTTAAGTACTTTCGAACTAGGCCTATCCTTCTCAGCTGAAAATAAAGGGATTTGGACAGGGATCCTACAAACGAGCCCATTGATAAGTGGTGGTCAATATATATACCGAGATTCCTGACAACTTCTTTACTAGATATCATATGCCCATATAAATCAAAGTTGACACTTTCCAGATCTTTATTTAATCGTGGATTTTTTATAAGAATGATGTCTGTCTTTTCTTCGTTTAGTTTCAATTTGTTGACTGTCACCCACTTTTTAATTTCATAAAAACATTGTTTAGTGATGGAAATCATGTTTGGTAGACCTTGAATGGTGCCATTAACATACATTTGGGAATCATCGTCATAAAAATGATAATTCAATCCATGATTTTGTAAAATGCTTGCTAAGGGCTGTGTATATAGTGTAAAGAGCACTGGTCCAAGAACGGACCCCTGTGGAACTCCATAATCGAGCCTGACCTGCTTTGAAAAGCTATTTTTAATTTGCATTGACTGAACTCTTTCTAGTAAATATGACCTAAACCATGAAAGCACAGTGCCCGATAAGCCAAATGAGCGCTCAAGTCAAATAAAGAAATTTAGGTTTTTGCAACAAAACTGTCTCAAAATTGAAAAAAAACAAGGGCGTCATGATCTGCACAATATTTTAAAGAATATTTTGGCGAAAACCGCATGTCGATCGATGCAGCCATTAAAAAGCCTTTTGAATAGCAATATTCGGCCACCACAAATAGATAATAGATAACAACGCAGTGGAGCGTGGACTCCAAACACCTCCTCCACCTTTACAGTTCCCTTGTCCGATCCAGGCTTGACTAGTGGACAGCCTCCAGGTCGAGGAAAACAAACCACCACTAACGTTCAGGTGAACACAACCCTCACTACAGTACGCATTATAACAGAGTTCAACCCCTGAAATCTCAGCTCACAATTTGCATTTTTAAAACAAATACAGACACAAAAAATGAATTCAAAATCAACAAACTCATTACCCCTTTCGGCCGCCTCAGCAGAGCCCTTAAAGGGTCTTAAAAAACATAGACATTTTCCAAAAAAGACAGAACAATCTCGTTTACCCGACCCCCCTTCGTGGCACTTTGAGAAGGCAAAAGAAGACTTAGAATTCGCCACACACTACAAATCATGCTCAAAGAAAAAACATTCAAATCCACATACTAAACACTCATTAAAAAATACCCCAATGCAGACCAAATCTTCACAGATGGCTTCAAATCGAAGCCCCTCTTGGCACCGCCGCCCTGTCCGCAAACAATATACACCAGAGAAGGCTTCATCTCGATGTCTCCATTTTTCTGCAGAGGCCTCTGCCATTGACTTGGTATTGGACTCCGTAAAAAATAGTCCGAAATCAGTTTTTTCTTATTCTGTCCGATTCCTTGTTTTGCCTCACTCCACTCACCAATCCTACAATCTTACAACTTACACCCGCAAATAATTAAATTACATTTGAAGATTCATTCCTTGACTGTACAATAAAAAATAATATTGTGTTCACATCGCTGCCTGGCCATATGGCATCCGATGAAACAATCAGGTCGATCTTCCGGCGAATGAATCTTTATCCCTTCTCTTCGGATCAACGGAGAGCAACCCCCCCCTTCCCGACAGAAGTTTTTAAAAAATAATCTAAAGAACGCACCTCCAGTCTGTGGTAGAAACACTGTAGCAAACATTTTTTAAAAATAAGATCCACAGTGTAATGCCCAATAAAAACCTTTGAGACGAAGTTGTTTTTACTGGGTGACATTGTTACCAGTAGACAAATACTAATAGACTGTCCGGACTTTGGGGAGACCCGGAGGAAATATTTTAAATGCACAGAATTTAAAGATTAGTTCTCCTTTGTTGATCCCAACAGAATTCTCGATCTTATAAAAGCCTTTACTCTAAAAGGCAGATAATTTTTGTTTGAAAATGTAAATTGCTGTTGTTATCTTTTAATCCTTTAAAAAAGGCATTTTTACCATGACATCTTTAACTTTGCTTTAAACTGTTGCAAACACAAACAACATATTATTAAGTTTGGTGCACTCATATGACCATAAGTAGTTGCGAGAGCTGTAAGACCCTTATTAAACTGACTAAAGGGTTATTATTCCAAGATAACTGTCTGGACATTTGGATTATACTATCTTAAAAATATAACACTGTAACTCATTTCAAATTTAAATGTTAAAAACTTCTGATAGACAAATCGTATTAAATGCACGAATTTGAAAAAATAAACATACTCCATGAAAATTTTATGGCGTGTTCAGTTTCGTTCACCAACGGGACAAATTATGAGGTATTCGTTCAGTCCCATCCTTTACCGTGAAATAGCTCTAAACTGACATAATTAAATTTAAAAATCATGCACTCTTCAGACCTCAAAATGTAAACGAAGGTAACATTCGACAGTCCTTTCCACATGACGGAGCCGGATTTTCACTAGAGCTTACGAATTTATGTATGTTCTATCGCTATGTATAATAATGAAATACTCTAAAATTGACCCATTGCTTTCCTGTTCCATTTTTGTAAATTTGAGGGTCGCTTTTCAGTACGCAGTGGCGATGAATGGATCGGAATGTGGGTGGGATTCAGAAATGAGGGTAGATTGAGTTCAAAAGCAGGATTTCTTCGGTCGAGAAAAAAGGGAGAATCCCTTTTGGACCAGCCATTCCGTAGTTCCCTGTGGACCAGTAAGAGGCGGGGTCCCTTTTGGACCAGTTGTGGTCACCGGTTTCTTTCTTCAATTTTGGAATCGATTTTTCTTGTTGCCTTTTCTGTCACCCAAATGCAGTTTCTGAAATAGATATGCTATACTTTGCGATTTTGAAGGCCGGCTGTTTGTTGCCTCCTGCTTACCATGATGAAATGGGAGTAAGACCGAACAGAAGAAACATTTTGGTTTTACATCGTTTTGCAACTGTTATTTTCTTATCCAGCTTCTTTAATCCACTCCTTTCAAGCACGCTTGAAAACGTAAATAGTAATAGTATATAAATCCCCCCCCCCCTCACCTTTGGGCAGTTCACAAGCCAAGTCCAAAAACACAGCACAGGAAAAGCGAAAAATTTCTCTAATACACGTAACTGTAATCGTTCTGTGCCGGTGCCCGATTACTACCTGGCTAAATAAATTCACCTATTTGACAGGTCCAGAAGAGATCGGGTGTTGTGTAAACTGGTCCAAAAGGAACTCTACCCACACAAAAGCCTAGGGCCTAGATATGTGCGGGTGTGTTTGTTTATTTATTTGCGCGTGTTGTCGCAGGAAGCAAGACATTTCTAACGACAACACATACAACTGCACGCAGAAAATATCTTAAAAGGGACTAGAGGGGAATGGGGGGGGGGGCGGGCTATCGCTGTAAATATTTATAAGTGGGCTCAAGATCACAATACTGTCAACCCTGTGTCGGCGACACACAGTTTTAAAGTGTCCTTGTGCAGGACACGATAACCGTGCTCGAAACAGGGCTCTACAACGTAGTGGATAGCTCTTACATGTGGATTGCCTATGTCTATCACGTTGTGTATTGTTCAGACTCATGTGTGTATTGATTGACGTATTTGAGCGTTTTATGTTCACACTTGTAAAACAAATGTCCCAAGGGGTTCAAATTAGTGGAATTTATATTCTTTAATCTGAATTTTTTTTCAATAGATATATTACTCCAAAGAAGTAGTGGCAGCAAAACTGTTTTGTCACGTCAGTTAGTCATGGCTGTGGCGACGGCCCTTGAGCAATAGTAAAATAGTTTAATAAGCCCTAAATTCTAAGTTCAGCATGCGGAAGCGTATTTAAGTCTCGGGCCAGATTAAGCGATTCCCAACGTCTCGTGGACCAAACTAGGAGAATGGGTGGCTGACGGGTGCTCTGGTGTGGTTTGCTTCTTCTTTCCATTCAAACGTCTATCGTCCTTATCTCCCCTCCTTCTATTTTCTGTTTGTTACTTTCTTGTAACACCTCTAATCTTCGGCACTTATACGACCTTATTGTGTTGCAAGTGCCGTAAAACTCTTACTAAAAAATTTTAAAATTAAAACTAGGATAAACTTTGGTGAAATCGGTTGAAATAGCCTTACTCTCAAAGATGAAACTAAAACTGAAACGACAGCATATGTTATTTAAAGAAATGTCACGTAATGGAATATATTGCATCCATTGTTTCCACCCAGGAACAATGCTGACGTCATTTTACCCGGGAACAGCGACCGGGGAAGAGTGACTAGTATTTTACTGTATCAGTTCTTTGTTACATTTATCTTGGTGTAATCTCCTACAGTATCGAACACAGTTAGACTAGATAATGTTAAATGTCGTCTCGATTTTCAGGTAAAAAATAAGGGTCATTAGGAAAAAAAGACTGGCTTTGCGAAATATGTTCACGTACACTGTGGTTGTGAGGTTGTTTTGTTGTTGTTGTTGTTGTTGTTGTTGTTGTTGTTGTTGTTGTTGTTGTTATTGTTGTTGTTGTTGTTGTTGTTGTTTTTACTTTGCTTTCATTTGTTTTTGGGTTTCTTTTGGTAAATCACGAAAGTCTTTAGTAACTACTTGCGAGCCATATCTAGTTTTAGTTCAGTTTGGGGTTTTACGGCGGTCGCAAATGCATAAGGTCATATGAGCGCGCTGGGCCATATCTGGCCCGCGGGATGTCGTCTGCCTATGTCTGCTCTAGGTTTTCGTTGCTGAAGGGTTGTGGGCAGCTTGTCATGCTACATGCCTCCAACCTGGATTATTAATGCATGTAGTAACCACACATCTTTTAAATATAAACTATAGGCAATAATAAATACTCACCTTTTTTCTAAAAAGACACGAAGGCCAAAATTTCTTATTCACTCATATAGTTTTCAGAGGCACTTAGGAACACAACTCAAGGCATAGCACTGAGAATTGAAGATGATTGTGTCCAGCGAAAAATAAACTGCCAAGCTACAACAAAGACTTGCAATAATATAATGAGGCCCCACAAAGTTGCGCCTATTCACCCTGCATACTGTACACAGTACACTGCACACCACTTGCAACCTCGATGGGTTCTGTCGTTCTCAGAATTATGAACAACAGAACCCGTGAGCGGACGTGTAGGCCCTTCGCACAATAACAAAAGGGGGACACAGGCACGGCTCCTAGCAGTGGGAGGTTGGAAACTTTAGTTGGTATCTGGTATTCCCAGTCCAACGCCTTATAATATTCCCGGGAAATGTGACTCATTAAGCACGGAGGGGGGAGGGGGGGATTCTAGTTATTAGAATTTACTAAAAACAACATGTTTCTGTGCGTGTGTGTATGTACTGATACTTTGCACAAATTGTCCGGCATTATCTCGCTGATTTAAAAAAACAACAGCTTATGTTGTCGTTGTTTCCGCACCGGTAAAAACGTCTTTTTAGTGCCATAACGCACCAACCTTGTGCCCAGTAGCGGTTCGTGGTTTATAGAACTGACCGGCCGTCATTCACGTCGACTATTCCTTTCCTTCACAACACACACACACACACACACACACACACACACACACACACACACACACACACCACTGTAAACATTGTAATATACTGTGAAAGAGCTAAAATATGCGATAGTGTCAAGAAACAATATTATGAATAACGTATGATGGAAGTTTACTGAGATTAATAGAAACTGACTTGATCGGCACAGAAAAAAAACACTACTAGGCCAGAAAACAAACTGAAAGTGAGAGGCAGTAAACTGCGGGTCCTGGCCTTCAGTACTGTACTCGTACTTTCTACACCCCCACACAAAATATCGACGTGCACTGGACCCATTAAATATATGTAATAAGAACAGTCCTGTATGATGACAAAAAGTCCCAAGCAGATCAAGTCTACAATCAGATGCTATACAAAGCTGGACAAAGTTAGCACACAACAGTTTCCGACCATTATACACAAGTATCATCAATTTTTTTTCTTCAACGCACTTCTCAGAACAGAACACTGTGGAAAAGGGGAGGGAAGGGAGGGGGTAGGCCTGGCCCAGACTCTGACAGCCGAGTGCCTATCGCTCCTCGTTAAAATTCTCCTTATATCTTCACTAGACAATTCCTCCCTCCGCCGGCCAGACTCCTATGGGCCAGGTAAGTTATTAGAGGGGAGAAAACGATGAGTCCCATTGCT